TTAAACATTCATATCTAGATTCTTCGTTTCTTTATTACTTTCTTGGAGCAACTTCGAAAAATAAAATGCAAGATATACATGACTTGTATTTGTTATGAGTTAAAAAAGGACAGTAATTTAGATAAGTCAAAAGGAATTTAATATTTTACAACTTCCCCCGGAGCGGGAAGTTTTTCTTAAGGAAGCATATCTAGATTTCTTTTCATTGCTTTTTCGAGAAATTTTGAAAAATAAAATACAAAATATATCTTATTCGTATTTTCTATAAATTGCTATTTTAAAAATGCAATAGTTATAATAGTTATAATAGTTTAACTAAATCAAAAGGATTTTTATATTTTATGATTCCCTCTAAGGCGGGAGTTTTACTTTAATAAACATTTTCTTTACTGCAATTTTCTTTAAAGAATTTTGAAAAATGAAATACAAAATACATTTAATTTGTATTTGTTATGAGTTAAAAAAATACAACAGTTTAAACAAATCAAAAGAAATCATATATTTCACCACGAAAATCCGAACACACTCAAAAAGTTAAGAGACCTGCCCCCCGTCGACTTTCGCGTCTAGCATGCCACGACGATGAATTCCCGGCTGTCAGGTGGATGCGATCGCACGTGTTCACCCATGTGCAAGCGAGTCCTAAGGCTTCCGCAAACGACGAGATAAACACGAAAATCTATCGACGTCAGCGATAATTCGCCCTGCGGCGACAACAACGTCGTATACGCATCCCGTTAATCCAATCCTGAGAAAATCGCCATAGTATTTAGGCCACGTTCAATTCTGTATGCACGCACACCGATACGCAACGCTAACGACATATTGATCGTTTCATTGTTGTTGACCGCTGCAACTTTTTATGTGAACGCAAATCGGATATTATTTGGGTCACGTCCGATTCGCAAGATTTCCGAGGCGGAATATAAGGAATACGTACCGTCGCTCGCGGATAAGCCAGATTACTTTTTTTATTTCCGTGTTGCAAGGATGAAATTTTATATATTACATGTAAATATGTTCGGGGAACTGTCATCGAAATGTACGTATTTGGAACCAAATATCACGTTCACGAGTTAGATCGTATTCCGAGCGAAAATCCTAAGCTACATGGAGTAACGAAAATTTTCGTTTGAGACAGTCTGTATTCCGCGCACGGAGCCTCGAATATTTCGCATTCGCGGATCGTCAGTTTTTTATTTCTGCGAGCACGATACCTGTGTAAAGCTTGTGTAGCTAATTTTTTTATCTCGCAGTGACAGATCGAACAAAGAGTAGTAACGGCGTATCTGTATTGAAAGCCGCCGGTCTGTTTGTCGCGAGTCGGCACGGTGAAACCATGCAGCGAGTCAAGGGTTGTAATCGCGGATAATCGCCAAACGCGGGAAGACCTATTTTTTGTAAACAACGCTCGACAACGTGGAGCACTTGTACCGGTGTCAAGAGTGTCACCGCGAACTCCTCTTTCCTTTTTTGTAGATTTTATAATCCCTACAATTTTCGCACTCGCACACAGGATATGCCGAAAGTGCAGATTTCCGTCACCATCGTGAATTTCAGAATTCTTATTTATTTCGCATATTTCTCACTTTTTTCAAAAGTGGATTTATTGTGTGCAAAATGAGAATTACGGGACTGACGCGGTATATTTATTTTCGTAATGCCGGCGGAAGTGAAAAACTCGTAATGAATAAAGGACGATCGACATTTTGTGGAGGTTACGAGCGCGCACATCCGATACGCGGGTGTGTCCACCCTCGGAATAGCGAATTGCCGATAAAAGAGTTCATAAACAACTTGATGCCGTGCCTTCGGCGGTCTCAGACGCGTTCGTTCCATACGACATTTTATTACGACAAGTTTCCACGCAGACGCGCGTTCGCGACGTATGTATATCGTTACTGTCGAACGAGTTTTAAATTTTCCATATTTTACAGTCAACTTTAGTGGCTTTCGTAGCGTGCATTCAGCGCAGCTCGTATTGAAATTTATTTTTAATGCCGCGTAAGCTTATTGTCGCCGCGTCCTCTCATTTATCAGAAATTATGTAACACGACAGTTATTAGAATTCTTAAAATTTTCCCGAAGAAGAATCGACTCGAACTTCCTCGAGAGAAGCATTATTAAAGGCAGTCGAACGATATAAATAACACACACTATGTATTTATATCTGGATATCGCTCGAACATCCAACTGTGAAAGAATTGTGAACGAAAACAACACGATAATGAGAGAAAAAAAGTTATGTCGTCACAAGCTTGAGAGAAAACTGGCAAACAGTCTAGGTGACACTTAAAGGAAACTTATCGGAATGTCACCGTTACACCGAACATCAGTTTCGTGCAACACCGATTTGAGCTCTCATTTGCTTCCCCGATTTTTAAGTTGGGAGTCGCCCATATTGCGACGAAAGTTTTCCTTCCGCCTTTACATGTTGCATCCCAGAAATTCAACTCTCTCTTGCGGAAGCTCGTCGTGAGTTGCATGCTGCCTGGGAAGTCAACAAAAGCCGCCTCCGGGCAACATTGCCCAGTTGAAAGAATCGCTTTCGACTAATACTCATCTCTGTAATTAGCGGACTTTCGAGTGAGGAAATAGAAATATGGTGAGACAGAAAGAGGGAGGGGGAGAGAGAGAGAGAGAGAGAGAGAGAGACAAAGAGAGAGAGATGGAGAGCATTCGAAAAGTAGAAAGATGCAACCATGCAAAAGAGTCGAAATTCTTGCAGCAAAAAGCTCAACGAAGGATCGCAAATATTAAAATGAGAGAAAATTTACGAGAACTTAAGAACGAGAATTTACAAAGTATAATTATACAATACAAAGCTATCTCAAGACGGAAATTTTTTTTAATTCTTCAAATTCCATCAAATTTGGAGGATCAATGAAAAATCTCAAAGTATAGCAATATACGAACTAGTCTCTTGTTTTCTTTCTTTAATGCTACAAAAGATTATTTGTTATTGTCTTCTCCACAAAAGCCATTGAAACTTAAAGCCTGATCTACAATGTGATGCTTCCTGTTTCCTTCTCTTTATCTCTTTCTAACTGAAACCTTAAGACTTGAACCAAAAAAAGATAGAGGACAAGAAATAAGAAGCAAAGAATACATAGATAAAGCTAAAAAATTAAGGAACAGATGCGAAAAACAACATGTTCTATTTTCTTATAAATTATTTACTACATTTTATTGACGTTGAAAATTCTAAATGAAGAGATCACAATTGTATATCCGTTAGTACCAAATAGTGACTAAAACAAACGGAGACCCAAGCAGAAAAAGATTCAAAAACACGAGACTTGTAGCCCGAGGAAGATTATTTGAAGCATATGAATAAATACTTCTAAAACTAACAAATTCCAAAATTCAACTCGGAAATTTTATAAAAAAAAAGTGAATTCACAGTAAAATCTCGACTAAAATTTTCGTTTTAATAAAGAATGTTAAAACTCTTGTAGAATTATATTTAAATAATTATTTAAATAAAATAAATTATTTGATGTACTACGAAAAAGTTCATCGGTTTATCAACAATATTGCCTTCAAATGTGTCAGACCAGAAAGCTTAACGACTCTTGGATCGCATTATATGCGAAGGAAAAAACAAAGAAACGGACATTATCCGGACGCGACAGTCGATCTCCAGATTCCATTTCGCGGAGGGATTTGTGTCCGTCGAAATAGAATAATTCTTCGATCAAATCTCGAGAGCAAAAAGAACAAGCCGAGAATTCCCCTCAAGCTAACATTATATAAAGTAAAATCTAGAGTAGTGGGTCTTCGCGTAATACGAAATACGTGATTGTAAATTACGATATATACACGAGAAAACTATCATATATCCGAGCAAAGCTCGCATTATGAAAAGGCACGTCGCGAAACCATAAAAATCCACGACAAGTACCTCGAGAGTTGCACAAAATGGAGTACTATAACGTCATCTCGGTTTATCGAATCTCTCGCGAAATGATGAATATCGTACACACTAACCTTCTATTGTCTGCTCAATCCGCTCAGTCCACTCAATCCGCTCGATCCCGCCAACGCCGTGAGCAGCTTGGAGACCAAGGATACATCTGTCAGCTGGTTGTCATACTAGTCCCTCGTGGAAGATCTCCAGCAGCTCCGTAATCGGCACTAGTGCACACTCACACTCGAATCGACCGCGTCGCGACATAATATCATCATCGGCGTACGACACTCCGGCGTTTCCGCTTCCGCGCTTCGCGTAAAAATCGACGAAAGATCGAGTCGTCGTCGTTCTCGTCGTCCTCGTCGTAATCTCCGCGACAGCAAAACGAAACGCTGGCAGGCAGGCGGGGTTTGAAGCGCGAGCAAATAATCACTAATATACGTATTACGATCGTCGCGTGTAGAAATTAGAACACAGGACGTCGCGGACGCGCAGGCCGAACAGGTGAAAAAAAGATCTACGATCCTACGCGGACTACACGGCGTCGCGCCTGCTAGCGCGTTCCACGGTCTCTACACTAACTGCCGCGTCTTCACTTGAATTTCGGAGCTAGCGCGCGACGGTCGATCGCCGACCAATCGCCAGCCGGCGCGCGCCTCGGTCGGCGGCTCGAGCAAGGCGCAGGCGCGCCGCAGCCCGGAGCTGGCCGGCGGTCGCGCGCCACCGTCAGTGACGGAAACTTCGCCCCGCGAGTAGCATGTATTAGCACGGGAGGGGATACGCACACTCACGCGACCATGTCCGTGAGGCTCAGGGACACAGAGACGCGAGTGTGTGCGTATCCTCCCTGTGCTGATGCGTGCTGCGCGCGGAGCAACGTTTCTACCACTGGCCACCGTGTGTGTTTGTGTTTACTTATGTGTCAGTTACTATCCTTAGATATCGTGCTAATATGACGTGCTGGTGACGCTGCGCGTGATATTTTTCGAATGTTTGATATTCCTAGAGACATTCCACACGATCCTTACTATTGAAATTTTAACTCGAAGGAAATTGGAATTTTATTGGAAGCACGCGTTGTCGATGATCAATGCATCTGAAAAAATTTTGGATCTGAAAACGAGCATTCTTGACTGTGCGTTTTTGAGAGAAATTAAAAATTTATTTGTGAAGCACGAATGTTAATTATCAATCAATAAAAGTTTTCTCAAAAATAGTCTCAAAAAAGAGTTTCATGTATTCAATCGGATATTTGAGAGTGAACATTTTTTATATTTATTTCTGACTATGTGAAATGTCACATTGCTTCTCATCTCTCGCAAGCTACATTTACTTTGAATCTTATAACCTCGGGCAATGTGCTCTACTCTTGATATTTCAAACAAATTAATCGACTGATATTTGATTTCGATTCGTGAGTGAAACATATGAACGTCGCGAGTGACATATGTGTGTATGTGTGTTGGAATTATCGACGTTTTATTCTTCGATGGCTCAAAGAGAAAAAACACAGTAACTCGAATTCAAAGTTACATACCTCGATGGACATGTAGCATTCCGCTCCCCAATCCTGGTGACGATTCACGCGCGGTGTTCTTCTTAAGCAAGTAAGTGTGAAGCACAGTGCTGTAAAGAGTCCAATTTCGTACTGTCGTAATACAACGAACGCGCGATATTTTGTTCGACATTTTCGAGAGATGTTCATTTTCGGTGGCCTTTTAGCGGCGCTTTGATACGACATGCGAAACTCATGCGACACTCCCGGAGATGGTAATTCGCGCACAAGATTCACCCGTTGCCCACTGAAATCGCGAGAGATGGCTTTCCGGTTGCGCGTCACCGAGTCACCATTAGTAGGCAATTGAATTTCTCGGATTAATGAACGCGCGGAATAATAAAGTTTACTTCACTCCCGCCATGCCATTCCGCTCTACGAAATTCACTTTCGACTTTTCGACGATGTTACGCTACGACGGCCAACCGATGCTTAATCACGGCACTCCCGGTGATAACTCAAACGTCAAATTCTTCGATTGCAAACACGTAACACGCAACGAATTGTATTACGAAGGGTACTCTAGCCGCAAAGGTCGCTCTGTCCTCTGACACTCCCGACGCGTCGCTCCGCGAGATATTTGCGCTTTTTTGTCGCCATGTCAGCACACGCGCGACACACACATTCAGCATCCACGGAAACGATAATTCAAGCTCGAGGCTTACCTTCGGCGAATCAAAATTGCGACGGATGTAGGACAATGGATCCGAACGCGCACCGCCATGTAGCCATTATAGCACGATTGAGTTTCTCGATCTCGGACTCTGGAACGCGCCAACTTCACTCGACATTCTCGATGCGCCCTCCCGTGAATTTCACCACCGACGAGGTACTAGAAAAGATCGTCGGCCTTACGGGTTTTAGCGACACGGAGAAATCTCACTGTACATTTTTATATTTCATCTTTTTCTTATATCCTATATTCTTACTGTTATCTTACATCGTTTTGTCTCTTTCTACATCTATCAATACGATTTCAGCACAATGCTCCGTCCAATACTATATGTTGATAGTGTACTCTTACGAAAAAAATACGAAAAAACCTTCAATTTTAGATGTAAACACCCAAAAACTGGAGATAAACACCTAAATTTGAGTTTTAACCCTCAAAATTGAGGGTTTTTTCGTATTTTTTTTCGTAAGAGTAGTTACATAAACAGACAGAAGCGTCTTTGTATGAAAAACGGTCGGTATTGTCATTGTTCTTCAATTACCTCCGGGCCTTTCCGGACCCTTTGGTCATATCGAAAATTTACCCAAGGTTGACAGTCTTTAGGAGTATCTCGGTGATTTCATTGTCGACTGTTCGACGATATTACGCCGCGACTACCAAACGAAATTTATTTACGGCACTTTTAGTGATGACGCGTATGTCGATTCCTTCAATCGAGAGTGTAAAATACAATGGGTGCGTTCAACGAACTCAACAGTTGCATAACAGTTGAGCAATTCGTCAATATAATTGGTCTAAAGTTAGAGATCTAACAGTAAGGACCAATAATCACTGACCGCTCACTGATCAGCTATGTTTTCTGAACGCAGCCAATGATTCGACATTCAAAATATCCTAACTGTTAAGAGTGCTCTGTCCTTTTCTCGTACGTTGGACGAGCTGTCCCGCGAAATACACTGTCGATTATTCGACGATATTATGCCGCAACCACCAAACAAAACGCGGCACTTCCGTGAATGACACATTCCTTCGATCGAGAGCGTAAAACGCAATAATTCGAAACTGCTCTAACCGCTCTGTCCTTGTCCCACGCATTCGAAGCGCCGTTCCGCGAGATTTTTATGTTCGTGAGCTTTTTATCGGCACGTTGCTACGACGTACACTGAAACTCATATTCGGCATTCACGGGGACGATAATTCGTCCTTGGACTTTACCTTGGCTGAGCTAAAATCGTGAGAGAAACAGGACAGTTTGCCGAATGCAACTCACCGCGACACCATTAAAGGCCAATTGAGTTTCTAAAACAAACAACCGCGCAAACTTCACTCGGTACACCCGGCATTGGTGAATATTGACTTTCGACTATTCAACGATATTCTGCCACGACAACCAAACGAAATTTACTCACGATTCGGTGATGATTTGTACGTCAAATTCTTTGGTCAGAAATACAAAGCACAGTGATTTGAATATTGAATTGTCACAACCACTTCACCCTTGATCTACACTCTAAATGCCCTCTTTCGCGAGATATTCTTTCTCGAGAATCATTAAACGCTACCTCGCCGTAATAAATACGCGAAACTTAATTTTGACATTCCAGATAATGATAATTCATGAGTGGGACTCACCTTTGGCTAACTGAAATCGTGGGAAATAACTTGTGAATCTACACTCTGGCGTTTTAATTACTGCACTTTACAACTCTCGGCGAGTCACTGCACTTGGATCACTGGACAAATCACTACGCGCACGACGCTCGAGAATTCCCTAGTTATGGTACTTTATTTATTAAAAATATTTTTGAAAAATTATCCTAAAATTAATATAAATAATTTATTAAGATATGTAGTAAATTGATTATCGCTTAATTAACATATAGAGATGATATGGATAATCATACAGAAATTTATCACTGTAATAAGTACTAAATATTACATGACCGGTACAATCCGCGGCAATTTTATTTTATTTAACAAGAGATATGATCCACTTCATATTCTTTACGTCTTCTTATTATCTCTATAATTATTACCATCTATTATCTAACGGATTAGATCTCTATAATTATTATCATTTATTATCTCTATTTATTATCATCTATCGGAAGTGAATGTCGTACGCAAACAGATGTTAAATTGTGTGATGGGCAATCATGTTAATGCAGCAATCAAATAAATCTGTGTAATTAAAGGTGACACTCGTTGTGTTCATTACAAGACGTTTGTTTCATCGCATCGGAAAAACGAAGTAGTGCGAACAAAGTGAATCAAGTGCAACGTAAAAGTCTCCAACGAAACAATCGCTTCAAGACTCGGCAGTCTTTTTGTTCTTCTCAAAGTATGTCTGTACCTTTATTTACTGATCTTTAAAATTGTTTATAGACCTTTGTTGGACAATCATTGAATAATCCGCAATTGCTTTCTGTTCTCAACATTCACTATGATCAATATTTAGTTGCACCAAAAGAGAGAGAAAAGCAACACATACTAAGTAAAGTGCATGTTAAATTAAACGGTAAAGATTGCCAGAAAGAACTTTATATGAATAGATGTAACTTGATAAAATAAGAATATTGCTTAGCTATTTCAATTGCCTTTTTTCACTATATCGAGGGAAATTTTAGTTTAAAAAGATAATATACGTATTAAAAAGGACTATATTTTTATTATACAAAAAATCAATCATTTGTACAAAAAGGTGTAATCTTTTGCACTACATCGCTCATAGTGAATCCCATTAAATTCATTCGCAGACGAAATTCGTACATTTAATTGGAATAAAACAGCATAATGCTCTATAATAAGGAACACACGAACGCGCGCTGCAATAATTCTTTGATTCACCTAAGCGATGGTAGTTTACATTTCCTTCCTCAATCACACAATATTTCCAACCATGTTTAAAATTCTCGCACCTTGCACATGCAAACCATCTGTCATATATTATGCTTATCGTTACCTAGATAAAAAAAATAGAGAAAAAAGGTTAACGTGACATTTTCTCGTACGGTCGTGTCTTTCAAAGACTTGCAGTTACCGGAAAAATAGGCAAAAGAATATAAGCGAGCTTGAGGCAAAGTATAAATGAGCGATTAATATTCAAATTTCCTTAATATATTGAGTACCACGTCACCCAAGATTTAGTGACGTGTGCAAGTTTCTGCAGGAATTTCTTCATCCGCTTTTGGGGGTTACAATTTGAATTATATAATAATTAATGATTTTATTAAATATCTTGTCTCTGATTGGGTAAAACTCGCGCGACTAACAATGTTAAGTAATCTGTATTCAATTTGTATTAAGTAATCTGAGTGTGTATATGTTCGCGACTAGAGAATTCTAATCCGTTAAGATTCATATTCGAATCGAGCGTGGTACTCAGTATGTTCAAGTTAAGCTCGAAAAGATTTGTAGTACTGTATTGTTAAAAAATATTTGTTACAATATTTCTTGAAAAGCTACAGTATACATGTAGTAATATGAATTGTATCGAATTGTATTTCATCGAAATATTGTATGCGATATTTTTCAAAAATACGAGATCAAAAAAGAACATGAACAAAATGTTTCGTACAGAACATTTAAAAATCAACGAATATTTGTTCTTATTTTCAGTTGAATTTGACTCTTATACTCAAAATGTTTCGTACGTATTATATGACATTGTTATTACACTCTTCATGATATTTCCTATATCGGACGTTTATTATTAAGATACCAATTACTATTAACCACCAAACTGCAGGGAATCACAAAGTGATTCTGGATAAATGTATTTCATCATACTTCCATAGTAATCATAAAACACCTTCAAAATGTAACTCGATTAGTACTCAGGATTTTAAAAATGCTTTCCATTTCCGGCTAAGATATTATGGCTTCAGCATATCAACATATTTTGTATTATAATTGTATTAGTTTTATGAAAAATCGGCAACTTAGTAACATTAAATGCAACAGTATAAAATAAATATGCAGTAATAATGCATATATATATTCACCGGTACGCACATTATCGTTGTACTTCGTGTAATTAAATCGCTGATTCTTTCCAAAACTAACAGTTATAATACAAAAATATGTAGATACAATACGAGCTAAAATATCTTTACCATAAATGGAAAGTATTATTGGAATCCTGTATATCTTTTCTTATCGATGCATCATCCTAAGCTCGTCGCAATTACACAATTTATATTCAATTAACGATGTTAAAACTCCGATTTAAAAAAAAGAGAGGAACAAGCAACGAGCCAACAAAGTCAGTTGGTGGACCGACCATTAACCTCGTCTCAACATGGACGTACATTCGGTGCTCGACAAAAACAATAGCATGACCGATACCTTCGAAGCTTCAGCGGCTGCGAAGTCGGACGGTATACAACTCTCACGGTGCAAGCAGATATTCGGGGAAAAAATTAATCGAACCTAATTATCCCACCACCAACCGTTTGCATTTGTACTTTTACAATCTCGCGCATCGTGCGTGTGAGAATCGATCCCGGCAAACCGATACACGGGGAAAAAACTAGCGCGCGTGATCAACGAGACGATTCGTAAAATCGTGCGTCACGTCCGCCGACAATTAAGAGAAATCGCGGACCTCTAGATAATTAAGCTAAATCGCACTTAGGGTTACGATGATGAGGTTTGAGCTGCCAGCATCTCTTCCTGCTGTATTTTCTTGCGATAATTATCCAGTGTAACTTTTATAGTCTGCTCCGAATAACGGCAGTTCTCGGCTTCGCAGGTACACGTGAAGGATTTACACTTAATTATCCAGAACTTCTCGCCATAGTCGAAGCTAAAGACAAATGCAAGTCCTACATTAATCCATTGGTTACCAGGCGATATGTGTAATTAGTGAATAAAATTAATAGATATCATGTCTGTCGTATTTTAACGTACCCGAGTTCTTCATCCGCCTCGATGTCTCGGTTAGCGAAGAACGCTATCCTAGGAAAATGCAAGTCTTGATGCTCAACAAAGACTCGTACCGGCAGCAGATTCGGAGCGCATGAGTGATTGATGAACCGGGCGATATTTCCATAACGTCTTGCGTCTATACAGTAAGTTTCTCCGTCCTACGTGTTCACATAAAGTAAAAATTTCTGATATTGTATAATGCAAACAAATAATATAAATTCACCACATTGCACAAAAATAAGAAACGATTACAAAGCAAATAATCGCTATCAAATCGATCGATTAAAAGTTCGATATTCTTAGTTTTTAATGTCTGAAATTCTTATATAAATAGTATATAAGAGACCTTCTTTTTGTACTAGAATTTATATCTTACTTATATTTACAGAGATGGAAGAACGAAACCGTGAAATTGAATTATTATTAAATTTAAATTTTTTAATTTCTTATTTTAAGCCCGGAGCACACGTCACCGTTATATTCGTTGGATCATCAAATCATCAGATCAGAGAATTAACAAAGCGAATAATTCTCTTGATTCATTTCTCATTGCTTTGCACTATTATCTTGCTTCACAGTATTACCGCATGACCTTGAATGATACTAAATATATCTCCGCCTTAATCATACATTTATATCTCCGCCTTAATTATACATTTGCTTCACACGAAGCAGAAAATCATACGATATAATCATTTAACTTACTCGGTTGTCCAAATCAAATAAGTAAGAATCATCCTCTCGATGATCAGCCTCGGAGTCAGAGATTATCTCGCCAACATATTCGCACACATAGGTACCTTTGAGGATATGTCGAAGAGTTCGAAGACCCCAACCTTTACCTATCGTGCGGAATAGTTGAAACCTTTGAGTGAGACCGTGTTGTATCACCCGGTTGTTGCAAGTAATGCTATTGCAATCGCAAGCTGGATTGCACTCGAATAACATTGGTGGATCTATAACACAAAATCGATCGTTGATGTCAATCTTGAGGAAGTCCATTCTCGCGAAATGAATTTTTCCTAATTTTGTTCTAAGTTTCAAATCGTATTGATTCGTTCGTTTTTTTAGAAAGTTCTTATCTCGAAACGGATATATACCTGCGTAATTGAACTCTGGTATGAGTTTTCCGTTCTCGTCGTACCAACACCGCAGACTTATGTTCCCGCACAAGCATTTCTCGGAACTGCAGTTATCCTCACAACGGCAGGATTGCAATGACGTTATCGTACGATCTACGCTAATGTTGCTCGTGAAGCAATTCTCCGTCACATAAATAAAATCAGTCGGTTTGTCCTCACCATCATATCCGTTGACGCATTGTATAGGATTAGTTTCTTTGCCGCGTGAAATATCACTAATAGATTAAAGTACATTATTATTAAAAGAGTAAAATAATTATTTTTGAATAAAGAGTTAAGTTAATAAAGGTTTTACGTAAGTAATACGATTTTCGGCAACTTTTTATAACTTTATATAAAATAAAATCTCGTACTTTGTCAATATTTTAACCGTTTTTTCCCACATATGCTGAGAAAGTTCATTGACTTTGGCATTTAATCTCAAGGCAGTCATAGTATCGCCATCTGCAGTGCAACAGTTCACTGCAGTCTCGCCGACAGCATTTACTTCTCCTATTTTAGCACCGCGTGCTAGCAATAATACGCTGACTGTATATCGGTCTTGTCTAGCCGCTATATGCCTAAAGGAAAAAATTTCAATGTTACACATAGTCAAAATTCATTCTTTTAAAATTTAACCAAACTACTGACGAGTATTTCCTCGCCAACTGATAGCAATAGATGTTGGATTAAAACGTACAAAGGTGTATCACCATGAACATTTACTGCATTCACATCACATCCTTCGTTCAGGAGCATCTCTGTAATTTCGGAACTTCCACTAAAAGCGCTCCAGTGAAGCGCAATGTTTTGTTCAGCGTCCCGGATAAGAGGATCACATTTTTTATCTAACAAGAATCGTGCAACGTTCGTATGGCGAAACTCGCAGGCCCATATCAAACTCGTCCAGCCACCATCATCCACGCAATCTGCAAACGGAGCATAAAGAAACTTAGGCGAAGATTTATTAATTTATTTTTTTTTCAGGGAAGAACTCCCTAATCTATATAAAATTTACAAATACATATTCTGCTCAGAAATGAAGTCGGCATTACCTACTAATGTTCTCGGCACCTTGCACTCAGTCAGGATGATCTTGCAAACTTCTAAATGACCCGTCTTAGCTGCCATGTGCAAAGCGGTCATACCATCCTCGCCTTTCAACGTTACATCAGCGCCTACCCTAACTAGATACCTAACGACGTCAGCTTTGCCCTTACCCGCGGCAAGCATCAGAGGTGTCAATTGGTTCCTGTCCATTATATCTATTTGAGCACCGGCTTGCACCAAAACGTGTACGCATGACATATGACCTTTGTCCGCCGCTATATGCAGACTAGTCCGATGAGCGTAATCCCGGAATGTGTGATTTGCGTTATAACCACAAGCTGTTAAATTACAAAACATATGTCAAACGATGTAATATCTCAACTCTTTTCTTTTATTATTATTATTCGCCTAATTTTCGCTCACCTAATACATTCACTAATTTTTCCAGATCCCCGTTCTTCACGGATGTATAAAGGCTCATAATAGTATAGCGTTCTGGCCTGTCGCTATTGGTCGATGGCTCGGGTATTTTGATGATGTCAGGCTGGATTAGCGGACTAGGTGGACGTTCGGCCAACTTTGTATTGTCGCCTTTACCAGGCAGTGACATTTTTGCAGAAGGGAGTTTAGAAAACCTTTTTCGCGTAGGAATGAAGACAGGCTTTCGCATGCCATTCATTGTCACTAACACGTCATAAGTGGTACTTTCGCTGCCGCAATGAGGACACACGCCCTTCTTGTTCGGATAGATTTCGCACTCGCGATGATACTGATGACCGTTAATGCACTGCACGAACCTACCCTGCGAACAGAACTTGCCGCATGTAGGGCAGCAATTGTGTCGCAATAGACGCTCTTTATGCACGCGGCAGAGGATGATATAAGGTATACGAGCACTCGGCCGTCTCATCGTCACGTCGTTATTGTCCACCTCGTTGCAACAACCCACCAGTCTGTTGTCGATCGAGTCGTTGGCCGTGCAGTAGAGCGGTGCGGAACCGGTGATTGTTACATATAACTGAGATCGCACTTGGCATAAACACAGCATGGATTGCGCGTACGTCTGAAATGAACCAGGTGATAAGGATCCACGTACGAATTAACGTGAGAACGTTTAAAAGAACGATACTGACTTCACTCATGATCGCCGTGGATTCTGGCTTCGATGCCTGTCCTTCCGCGGGACTCGGACTCGGCGCCATGCTTCTGCGAGTTCGTTTTGCCGGTACTGTACCTTCTATGGTAAGATAAGTCTAATTAAGATATTATCAAATGCAGAAATATATAATCGCCTATTTATTTAATGAAATATGAATATTATCAAATGCAGAAATATATAATCGCGTATTTATTTAATGAAATATGAACATAATAAAACGTAATAAAATTATATAAAGTGTTTCCATGTTAACGAGTATGTAAAATATATGTCGTATTTACTCTTTACAATAAATTTCACGTTAAATTTAACTTCACTCTCTCGCTATTATATATTTATATGTATGAAAAATTTATATGTATGAAAAATTTCAATTTACAAATTAACATTTTACCTTCAGGATAATCATTATGCTTTCCAGTCTCTGCGACGGATGGAGAACCATCTACAAAATAACATGTTGCATTTTAGTACAACAAAAAAACAGTTTCAACTTATGCAGATATTTCATACCACCATCATATACGTCGGCCTTTGCAATCTTTCGCGCAGCCTGAGTGCTTCCACGTGGTCGACCCCTTTCCCTCTTGGGTCGTCCAGCAGTAGCAGGCTTCAGGAACGGCTTTCCGATATCTACCAACGCATCATCGCTGCTAGGACTACGGATCGAGTTGCTCAGCTTGATCTGCGAATCCGAACTCCTTGTCATCGGAGATAGCTTCGGCATATCGGCAAACTCGGAGGATGAAAACGTCAACGAATCCTCATTGATATTATCGTTTATACTATTGTTTTCCGACAACGATGTAGCGGAAGTACGTGAGGAATCAAACATGTTTTCTGATGCGCTAACGCCACTGTCGGACAGCAGCGACGTATCTGCTTCCTGATGTCGTATATCAGAAACCCTCATTTGGACAGGCTTGATCGGATCTCTGCCCGGAATTATTTTCTTCGGACGGCCTGGTCTGTTATACTTCCGTTTTTTGCGCTGCATATCCTCCGTGTAATTCGACTTCTCTTTGCGCGCCATGGCACTTTCCAAAACTGTACTCTTCAAGGTTTCTTTACAAAGTCTTCTAGCTGAACGTTTGGGGCAAGGCTGTTCTTCCATCGAGTCGCTGGAAACACAAAAGAGAACAAGATTGACATATACATCATGTAAAAAATACAGGATGTTCACCATAACGTTATTCACTATATTTTTATTAGCTACAATAATCGGACAAGAAAAAATTCTAGATGCAATTTATCAGTTTTTAAAAAGCTTATTTACCAGGTTACTTTCAGGCTGACTAAAGGACATATTTTCAGTGCCAAGCTAACTACTCATAAATTCATTACTTATCAAATAATATTACGTTTTCATATATTTATTTCATATATTCACTTTTTTCATACACTTCATTTATTTTATATATATTTCATATATTTATTTCTAAATAATAAATGTTACTTTGAAACTAATTTCATGATACTATCTTGTCTTATTTTACTCAATACAATGCTACTCAAAGCATAAAATAGCAGTTTTCTGATCTACAATCAACTATTATACAAAAACAATGCAATAAACTTTTTTTTCTTCCATGACATGTTTCCTAATATATAACATTTAAAATGTGAATTGCAAGTTTTTTTACTTAGATAGTATCACTTTTTATGAAGTTACACTGGAATAATATCATATATATTGCTTCTAAAATAAGATTATATGTGTAAAATCGCGATATTCAATATTAAATTTCTCATAAACAGATAAATCACATGAAACTTTAACCGAATGAATATATTTTATTGCAATAAATATTGCATTAAATTTTTGTATAATTTTAAACATTTTAGTTTAAGTAAATAAACTGTTTAACGGCAATAAAATACAATAATAAAAATTTTAGAAACTCTTTGCAATAAGATCAAAGTTACTTCCGCTTCTTTAAAATGGAAGCTTTTTTTATTTATAATATTATAAAGAAAATCAAAAATTTAATAGTAACTCAATCTTTATTACTATTTCACTGCAAAAAAGAACACAGTAAAATAATAATGGAGAATTTCAACATATAACACTAGAGAGCATCCAGAAACATATATTACAAAAAAGGTGGAAAATGGATTATATTTCAAACATGTTCTGAGCACCTAACATTATTCATTACACGTTATATTTAAAATATTATTTTATCTCCTGTTTATACTTTTACTTTTAAATATTAGTAAAAATAAAATTTGTTTTTTTTTTATTCACTTTGCATCTTATTGCCATTTGAGAATTGATCAATTGCATCTAGGATTTCCTTCTGCCTGATTATTGTAACTGGTAAAAAAAATAGTAGATACCATTACATGTAACACCCTGTATACCCTAGTAAACATGAAGAGAAAAAAGGAAACCTAAGTGCTCGCAATCTAGGTCGTCCAGTTCTTCTCTTCCTGGTAACTGGTGCAGCAGTTTCTTTCTGCTCAGTACCTTCAGCAAGCTTTGTCTCAACGTTGCTTTCAGGGTTACTCTCAGAGTTGTTCTTTGTAGTCTCAGCCTTCTGCTCGACAGAAAGCTGTGTATTACTAAGTTTCTCCTCTGTATCTTCCACCACATTCTTAGTCACATCTTTAGATTCTAGCTTTTTTGCAGATCTTCCTACCTTGACTTTTTTTGAGGACTCTTCCACATTATCCGAATTATCATCAGAGTTCTCTATTTTTACTGAGACACCGACCATACCACTATTACTAATCCGATCACAATTGCTCAAGTTTTCCGGAACCATGGTGAGATGAGAAGAACAGCTGGATATTTTAGTCTTCTTACCGTGATCTGTGTTTTCATCAATTGTTCTAAATGTCAGAATGAGCCTAGGTATGCTATTTTCTTTCTTGAGAGCCTCTTTCTTGAGAGCCTCTTTCTTGAGAGCCTCTTTCTTGGGAGTTTCTTGCTGGCCTGTGGAGGCATCATCCTCTCCCTTATGATTCTCATCTGGTGCAGCTTGAACTGCAGTGTTTTCTGCACTCTCAGCTGTGTCCTCACCTTTCTTGTCTCGCTTCTCGACGGCTGTTGGGTCGTCGACAGACTCTTCGATAAGCATGGACGGCGACTGTGGCAGCATTGTTGTATTTTCTGTAACAACTGCTATTTCGTCGTCGCTCTCATCCGAACTCACGCTCTTGTTGAATTCACTGGTCATACCCTGGAGGATCTTATGGATGCTGACTTCCTCGATGCCCTTGTTAGCAGTAATGTCTTCGTTGTTAGCAGCTTCCGTTGCCGACGATGGCGGCAAGCCGCAACCCTCGGCTGTTGCGACTGCTCCATCCGAGACCTCGGACACGACATCGGCCATGCTAACGGCTGCTACCATGAACGGCAGGACAACATGCAACGACTATGGCGCGCATCTTCTTCCGGTAAGTGCTTCATATCCCCTGATTTTTTTTACCGAGCACGGCGATGCAACTACCGAAGCATGATATATTTTACTCGAATTTTGCTCAAATTTGCTTTACCTACTAAGCGTAGCTTAATGCTATTTTCTATATCCTCTTCTTCATATATCACAGGCCTACCCTTTTAGTCTTGTTCCGCCGCCCTTGTGCCTTTTTATAACACTGCACTTTTTCCAATCGATCCTCGCTTATCAGTGACGCTTATTGACGACACGGACACCTCGATCTCTCTAACGAACGAGTACGCGATGCAGCCACTGTTCAGGATACTAGCTTCTTTTTCCTGAACCGTTTTTTTATCGATCGAAACATTGTCACACATTCGTGCCTGGGCGGTTTCAGGCAAGTCCGAATGAATCTCGAGGTTACCGAGCCGTACTGCTCGACTAATCGGATGGACGATCCCGGCACGGAGCAATGCAAGCCGCCGAACCAACAGCGCCGAAGTTTCCTGCGGAAGAGTCTCGCGTGAGAGAAAGAGAGAGGGTGATAGGCGGCAAAAGGGAAGAAGACAGAGAAGCGTTTACGCTGGCGTGCCCTGTTAGCGAGCGAGCGAGCGACTGCGACTGGAGGCCATATTGATTGCTCAGGGACGGCGATCGCTACAGCGGAGACGGAATTGTTTTCTTTCCGCGATTCTCCGTTATCGTGTCGCGCACGGGATTCAACGTTAGCTTAATTTAGTCTCAAATAACGTCTACTTCATTTATCATGGTAGGCATTAATTCATATTACGTGAGGTTTCGTAGCTCGAAAGTAAGGGACAAGAAGAGGAAGCACGGCCATTATGAGCGCTGCCCATATAGATTTTACGCACTATTTTACATGAATTATGCTAAGCGTATATGTGGAGTCCTCTCTCTTTGTATCATAAATGAGATCAGAGAGATAAATGGGGACTATTGATCTACTTGGATCTTGTCTCTCGACACAGGCCTAAATAAAAGCCAAACACGTTGTTTACAATTTCAATTATCCTTATTTGCAGGGATATTTTTTCTATAAAAAAATAGATAAATAAAGACATACATATCGGAGAGAAATCGTTTGTAAACTTTGGCTTCTCTGTTTTCATTAGTCTCAGATTATATATGGAAGTCGTTAAAGATTATTTTATTTTATTACTGACAATTGAATTTGATGCAACAAATTGCTATCTACTTTACTAAAGAATTTCTATTGAGATCTAAAGTGAGATTTCTGAAAAATTTCCTGTATGAAATATTGAGTTACTGTTGTAATATAATATTTATAATAATATTATATAATATAATATTTATATTATTATATTATTAATTATAATATTATATTATATATTTATAATCTAAAAATTTAAAAAGGGAAAGCTTCTCTATTTTTCATATGATATTTTAATAGAAATATCATTACTTATTTTCTCATATATCTCAATTAAGATATCATATAAAATAACCTCAAAGATATCTTATATAATAATCTCATAAGATTTCATATAGAAAATTTTCTGGAAATCTCATTTTAGATCTAATAGAAATTTTTTTAGTAGAGCAGGTAACACAATGTAGCAAAAAGTGATGTCTTAAGGACGCGCGTCCAAAAGATATCCTATTTCTTTTAAACGTTTTTTGAACACCTTGAAGACATCCAAAATGGAACAGAAAATTACGATGACATCAAAATTTTGAGAAAATGATCGAATCGTGATTGAAAAATTAGTTTTTTTAGTCTTTTTCTCGTTATCTTGATATTATTCTGACGTCATCATGATTCTTTGTTCTGCCTGGAATTTTTTTGTATAATTTGTGCTGCCTGTGTGTGTGGATATTCTTTTCTAAATTCTCATCCACCTTCACGTCATAGTTATTTCTAATTTTCTCCTAAAACTATACTTGCCAGTTCATACTTGTGCGTTAATAATAGTAGTTCACAAACGCAATCGACATCTTTAAAACGTCTATGTCCCGATTTTAGACGTGTGGGAGCCAATTGAGTAACCTTACGGTATGTTTCAAAAGATACTTGCATATAGTAAATCCACTGCTATGTAACGGGATAATGGAGCAGTTATACAGCCGTTACGAAGTTCGATCGACTCTTGAGAGAATGCAAATTAAAGAGCGATCGTAGCACGATAGAATAAAGTTGGAAAATCCATCGTAGCCCAGTGCGCATGACAGTCTGTCGACAAAAAGTTGCTTAGGGATTACGTGGCATGATACGATAAAAATATACGCGGTGTGTGGCAGAATACTCGTGCACTACCGTGGATATATAAATGTCGGTCATTGTAAATGATAAAAAGATATATAACGAAACGAGAATTAACTTTCAGTCTCGAGAGTTATCTATGTTTCAGCATCTTATGTGCTGTAATAAATTACGATGATACCACCTCGTCTCCGAAAACTTCCGTAAAAATATAAATGAGATAATATTTACACAACACAATACCCAAAATCGGGATGCAAGACATTTTTAAGTCATCTTTCAGACGTCAAAACATAAAATGTCTTTTAAACGTTTTATATCCCGATTTTAGATATATGTGGGTATTAATTCCACAGTTAGAGATTTCTAATCTTCAGAATCGAGAAACTTTTGAATCTCTCTTTCTATTGTTTTACGTTTGTGCTATTTCTTTTAATTCTTTTAAAAGAGAGAGATTCAAATGATGTAATTCTATGATAGAAATTAGTATGAATTCCTATCTACTCCGCATTATAGTCATACAAACTGTTAAATCAAATCAGAGTATACATTTACATACAGTATATGGTATAATTTTCAAGTTTGGAAATAATCTTAAAGCACATTGTTAGAGCAGAGGATAAAGTTCAAAGTTTTTGTACGTCGTTACATTAATTATGCCGATAAGCAGGCAGCGCGAATGACTTGCAATATTCCTTTCAACGTTCCAAACGAGGATACATTCTACTCGATCGAGGTCAAACAAATAAAAGAGGCATAAATATAGTAAAAATGACTCAAAGTTCCTAAAAGGAAGAGTAAAGGAGACCGAGAAGAAGGAATAAAATTATAGAGAGGAAAAAGTATAATGACTCGTATAAATATAAGTTTATTTACATTGCAACAGATCCTTTTGTCAAATAAACGACAAAGGTGATTACGAGTGTAGACTTAAACATAGTTTGGGATTAAATGTTAATTAAAAATAATTAATTACAACATTCTAAACGTGTAACGCCTCTCGCACGCTCTGCCGACTGAGTAGTAATATACATCCGTGAATTCGTAGTAAAATTCTACGAGTAAGGCGTGCCACTGCGACATTATTGTGCCTTCATTACTTTGTTACGGAGAAGTCGAGTGTGGACGATAATGTATCCCTCTCGGTACGATTTCGCGCTCGATCTCGACGCCGGATTTTGTGTACCGTGAACGTACGGCCCATCCTCGCGCGTTTGGTATTACTTCATATATAAATAACATATAATAGTCGTAATAATAATATTAATAATAAAACGTGGAAAAGTCGCTGAGAGTCGCTATAATTCGAGTCGCAAAGATACCGCGAAGCCGTCCGAGAGAAGAGAGCGAGTTTCGTTGCAATATCCAACTTATCTTTCTCTAACTCACTCTCCTCTCTCTCTTTCTCTCTTTCTCTCTCTTCCTCTGCTTATCTCTTTCGTTTTATCGTGACAAGATCCTCAAGATGGAGAGAAAGAAGCGTAAACGAAGAGCGATAGGAACGGTTTACGCGTTTTCGGCACGACGCCATATCTCCCCGGTGTTTGTGTCTCTGTGTGTATATATGTGTATTCCTCTTTCTCTCTTTTTGTTTTACTTTTTTTTTAGAAAAAACGTCACGGTGCATCTCATTACTTTTCCGTCCTTGTCACTCTGCATTCCTTTACACGCAAGCGATATAAAAAGTTGAGCATCGTGTTTCCCTTTTGTGTCCTATTATATAAATACACGTCGAGAGAAGAGGATCATTGACGAAGGTAATTCAATTCGCGTCTCGCGCGGCGGCGATTTAGAAAGCCGTGTGCAAAACGTCGCGAAAGTCGTTCATGCGCGGTTCCGTCGTAGCGCAGACGATCCTCACTTGTGCGAAACGAAGGCTTTGCTAAAAGGCTACCACCGTGCAGAAAGCGAGTTTAGCGTGTGAAGCGCGTTTAAAATTTGAGAAGCGTTTTTCTCCTTTCTTTCGCCTCTTCCTAGTCTAGACACATCGATAAGAAATCCAGAAAAATATTTGTCAACCCGAAATATTCACCGACGTAAGTTTGTCAGATTTCTTGCTCGGTGCGAGTTTTATTTTTTCTTTTTTTTTCTCTCTTTTACATTCAGCGATTATCTAGAAAAATCAAATCGCTCTTTCACGATTTCAGCTGTTTCGCACGCTAAATCGACCTCTCATACAGCCTTCGACGCGTACAAACCGCGGCTCGCGGCGGTTTGAGTATTAAAGAACATGCTTCTCCATACTTCATTTCTTTACTTTTTGGTTTACAGCGTTGTTCTTCTTGAGAACACCGTATACGTGTGTGCGTATGTACCGTATACGCGCGACTCGCTCTGTGCGCAACCGTCGTCGTCGAGTGCGACGCACCTCGCTACTACGTGATGCACGCGATTGCACCACGGGCGTACCGTGTCGCGTATGGCACCAACAACAAGGAATAAGGCTTAACGGTAGCGGTGGGTTATGGCGGCGGAGGTCTCCTTTGCGGTTCGGGAGTGTAGCGCAGACGGGCTCGCACGTGCTGCGGGCTACCGGGCACGGAATTACTCTCCGACAGTCTCCTGGGTGGCGGTTGAGGGGGAGAAGGCGAAACGTACCTTGAAAATGCCAATACAGCGTCTGTCATACATGCGTCACTTCCATGGATAATAAAGTGACATGTAAACATATACCTTCGCGGACAAGAAGGAGACGCCTGTTCTATTAAATTCCTTCTAAGGGCGAGCGGTGACTCGCCGCGACTCAATCTCGGCGGTGGCTCCGGCGAAGGAGCGCGCTCACCACCGAGCCTGAGGCGTACGTAAGATGCAAAACGCTTCTTCGCGGACTCCTTGGAGCCGGCACCCTGTTGCTGAGGCGGCATCACCGATGACGGCGGAGACTCCTGCTTGAGTTGATGCGCAAAGCGGGAGATCAGCAATTGCGGACTAGTGGAGCCGTGGGACCCCTGAGGGGGCGGTTCCGAAGGAAACCTGGGACAACATCTTATTATATAACTTATCGACAAATAACAGTATCTTATTATACAAGATGTCTGACGCCAAGTGTCACGTACCTCATGTCAATTAGGTTAAACTAAAAGTAGCAAATTATCACACATGATAGGGTGGATGAGTTGCGATAACGGCGCCTGGCATCGTGTGCTTGTAGATTAGGTTAAACTGAATAAACAAGTCCTCTGCTATTTTACAAATTACTACGTGAATTTTTGAATTATTAATTTAAAAGAATTGGCGGATAATCACACACGATAATATATCATTGTTATTTAATTAAAACTTAAAAAGTTACGTGGTTATTCGTAAAATGCTAAAGAAATCTTTTGTTTAGTTTGACTTAATCTATGTTTATATGAAATACAGGACACTTAGCATTAGATATTCTATGTATATCCTTGATTGATAATTCTTGATTGATTAACCTCTTGCGGCTGATCATCGGGCTACCGTAAATGTCCTGCGGAGGATGAGTCTGAGGTGCGGGCGGCGAAGGTTGGGCCAGTCGTTGCTGCAGAAATGGTGAATAACGGCCGCTGTCGCACGACGACGGCTGTGGCGGCTGTATCACGCCAGGTGGATCGACGTTCTCTCGCCGCCAGGGAGAATAGTCTCTGGCGAAGGGACTCAACGATCTCGACATGCCTTGCCATCGATCCTTACTCGTATCACGATCATCGTAGCGGCTACGATAGGGCGAGTAGGATCGACCGTTACCATCCATCAAGTTAGTGTCCTGCTGTCTATACGGAGAGAACGGTCTCGTCGTCTCCTGTCTACTCTGGCCATTCGTCGAGCAGCTATTGCCAGAATAATCCCGGGTAGACTGTTCCAGTTGTCGGTAGGGCGAAAACGGTCGCGGCGGCTGTCCTTCCGCGATCACGTCCTTGGTCGTCGGCGGCGAGAACGGTCGAGCAAGCTCCTTGCGGCGTAACGCGTATGGACTGTAAGACACGTAGTTAGTGGCGCCGTTCTCGCTGTTGGAACGCTGATGAAACGGCAGGAAGCCACCAGGATTCAGTGGCGGCTCTTTAGCCGTCACATTGGCGTTATTGCTCCTCAGGAAGGCAGGTATGTCAGACTGCGCCCGAAAATGGGCCGTCTGCTTCAAAGACACATGACCCGAGAATCGCTGCTGCCCTCCCGGCAACCTGAAACTGAACGGCGACATGGATGAAATCTTTCTGAGATGCTGAGCAAATTAATGTACACCGGTTTTTTCTCCTCCGCCCCTAGAACGAAAGTACAATCCAGCTTTATTTTTGGTGTAATTCATATATCGCACACTGTCACCCGTGATACCGCGACGACTCTGTAAAAAACCTTAGCTTACACTAAGAATTAATGGAAGTTAGAGCGGAGCGTTAATCGTTACTGTGCATGCAATCGCAGAGGACAGAGGAAGTTTTCTTATAAAATGAGTACGCTACGTTCTCTAAACTGCGCTAAAAGTTTCATGTTGCAAGAGCAGCGACCGTTCGTCTGTTTTTCGCGTTGTTAGGTACCTCAAGTTGAAGCGAGATCAGGATCCATGTGTGATCCTCTTCGTCTCAATTAAGTTCATCTCACTGCTGTGATCTCGCCTGAACTTGTGGTACCTGAAATTCATAGAGCGCGAAATCAATAAAATAAAAAGATATGTAAAATAAAGAAAAACAGCATGTATGTGCATAAGAAAAAACAATGCGTGCAGTCGTAATGAACGAATCGGCGAATTGTCTACACTAACGCAAGTTTGCGAAGAAAGAGAAATAGAAAAAAACAAGACAGAAAGAATTAAAAAATACTGAAATAAATAAAAAACAATGCTTACCGTGAGTGGGGGTTGAAAGGTGGGATGTGTAACAGGCGCGTGCACAAACCAAACAACTTGAAATGAAAATCGGGCAGACTTTTGGATACTCTGAGAGTGGGAATAATCTTTTTTTCTGTTTTCATGTTTTTCCTTTTTTTTTCTTTTTTTTCGTTTAATGTCTTGCTGGATTATTCGGGCGGTTCGTCCGGGAAGGAGCAGAGGGAACGGGACAGGAACGGGAGAAGGGAGGATGCTACGCCGCGCTGCCTCCCTCAAGCTCAACGCTGCAACACAATTCAACACGCACGCAAACTTTTAATCGAAATAATAAGGAAATGTCTATAACATGTCGGTTTTTTGGCAAAGTAGTGTCAGAAATAAATATATATCGGATGTCTCGGAAGTATCGCAAATTCTCCGACGAAATCGTGAGAATCAATGTCATATAATCAAATCAACGCGATTTCGCCGATCGAATGAATTTACGCGACAATTTCGAGACATCGCATTCAACGTAAAAGAAAATTTCGCCAAACGTGTCGCGCTCAATTTCGCTTCAATACCCACCTGACACTGTGGAAATGTGTTAAAACTCACGAATTACGTTGGTAAAGTGTGATTAACTGGTTATTATTGAGAAATAAAAAAACTAGAAAAAGAGATAACCAAACCAAATCAGTATCTATATTAGTCGGGAATCTCATGCCGTGTATTTTAAAATTCCGATTTCGCTGTCACGTTCGTTTTCAACGTCAGCAACGTATACGATATCACTTTGCTATGTTACGTTTCATCCTGTTATGTATTTTCTCTAGGAGATCGGGGAACGGAGGAACGGCCGTTAACGGAGGCCTACCTTGGTTCTAATTGTCGCATGACTCTGCCAAACCACTGGTAGCCGGAATTCGGCGAGGCGGAGTCCGTCTCGCCGTCTTGCGAAACGTCGTACTTGCGTATGAACGGATGTTCCATGAGCTTGTGGTACTTTGGCCGATGCTTGTAGTTCTTCGTGAGGCAACAGGTGACGAAGTTCCTGAACTCCTCGGAGAAGAGTGCCTCCTGCGGTAGAGACGGAGGATCGTCTTGTACTACCCTGCTCAGTACCTACAAAGAGTAGAACGATCGGATGAGGGAGGTGAGACACAGCGAAATAACGATCGCCTGCAAAGAAATCTACCTCGAAGTCAGTCTTGCAGTCTCGGTAAGGAAATACTCCCGTAGCTAGTTCCACCAGAGTAATGCCCAGACTCCACACATCTGCCCTTATATCGTAATCTGGCTTGGTTGGATCTGGTGGATCTATTCTCTCGGGCTGCCACAAAAACATAATCGTTCAATTTCTCAGAAAATTCCTAACATTGTCTGCAACATTGCGAGATGCCTACTTACAGCCATGTACGCGGCGCATCCTGCGCTTCTCGTCTTCGCTTTGCTGTCGACTAATCTGCCAGATATGCCGAAATCGCAAAGCTTCACCCCACCCGACTCATCCAGCAATATATTACTAGGCTTCACATCCCTATGGATTACACCATGCTTCTCTTTCAGGTACGACAACGCCTTTACTGTCTGAAGAAAAGAGTCGTACCATTGAAATCTCGCCAACAATTTTAGAATTATTGTGTATGTAAGAGTTTTATTTCAAATTTGAAAGCGGCGGACCCACATGAAGAAAATGTATTGATACTATTCAAGTTTTTTTCTCTTAATATAAATTTTCTTACTTTGAAAAATATAAGATTTGAAAAACATTCTCAAAACATAAGAGGAGTTTCCTCGTGAAAGTAGGAAGAACTTACTGCTACTGTGACTTTGCCTAAAAAATCTTCTGGTATCGCCTGCCTGCTGCGCTTCAGCAATTTGTCCAGACATGTCGCCATCAGTTCCATGCAGATCCACACGTCGGACTCCGTGATGAAGCAACCCAGACACTGTACAATATAAGGACAGTCGTGCGACTTGAGTACAACATCAAGATCCATGATTATCCTCTTGTTCTCCTCCGCGTTGCCGGAACGTCGCATCTGTTTCACAGCAATCACCACACCACTCGGCTTATGCCTCATCTTTACAACATGGCCACACGTGCCATTGCCGAGCTCGCCTAAATGCTCCAAGTCCTTCATCTCCGTTTGGTACTTCTGGCCATTGATGTTCAGGATGCCATTCATCTTCATGATTTCTTGTAATTTTGACTCAAACTCAATATCATGTTTCTTTGGCGGTACCATCTGCGATACTGGCAGATCCAGCTGTCTCCTAGGTCGTGTTGGAGTACCCATGTCTCCGACTATGAAGAAAAATAATATTTTTGTATATTACCTTTGTATATTTTTGTATATTTGTGTATATTACCTATTTATCTCCTGTGATAATTATGATGAGGCCATAACTACTTATCTTCTGATAATTATAGTTGAGCATAGAAAATATAAGAACAAGTTGATATATAAGAAAATGAAATAATACAGAAAATATAAAAGTAAAATTAGAAAAGTTAAGCATCATTTAAATTGTAGCAGATCCAGCAGATCTTACTTCAATATTCTAAAGTATCATTAATAGTTACCAATTTAAAAGAATATTTGTCTCAATTATTTTAACTTCAAAATCTGTACATATAAATGTTGGAAAAGTGTGATTGTAGTACTTATAAATTTAACATTATAAAAAAATTTTTGTATCTTAATGGATAATCTCTGCTCAACATTACAACACTTACCTTAATGCAAATAAATAGCTCAAAATATCAACAGTAATTAAATATTTAATATTTGCAGCCACAAGTGTTCCTCACAGTCTGGCAAAAATGATCAAACAGAAAGACAGTACAAACCTAAGACAACCCAAAACAGATATACCCAAGGCAGATAAACAAACGACCGACGAAAGTAACTGATAAGCAAATGAAGTGACAAGAAATCTCATTTTATTATCCGATAAGAATTGAAACTGGACATCCTGTGAACCATTAGTTTGCAGAGAGGTATGAGAACAACGATGGAGATCGTGATGATCAACATAACCTAAAATGCACGAGTGAACGGTCGAGCGCGATCGTGCGCGACGACGCAGCTGTCGCCAGGATATCGATCGACGAGAAGAGCGATCCAGCGACATTTGTGGAATTTTTCGCGCGCAATACTTACGTTGTCGAGGTCTCCGTAGCGCAGGACTAGACGTGGGACCCGTCGACGACGACGACGACGATGACTGCAGGCCCGCGGTCGGACCAACCTCGCCGCCCTGTCTGTCCCTGTCTCGCGACTCGTTCTCCGCCCGTAGACGTTCCTGCAGATTCAGGATTTTGTTCTCCAGGGTGCTCGACATCGCGCGCCTTTTCGCACAGCTGCACGCTGCTCGTCGCACCACACTAACGCAGGCTCACCGGGGCCACACCACCGCCGCGCACCAGGTATTTGACAATTTTCGCATCACTCTCCACTGCCCCTTTTTGGCAGCGAGTGCTGCGCCGCCGGTCCGCACGCGTTCACAGGTCCGCCAACTGCCGCTGCACGTCGCCACGTTTAGATGAATATTTCAAGAGCGTCATGGGGTGCGTCCAGATTCCCTACTCGGTGCACTCTATTACTAGAAACACTATAGTATATGTTACATATACTATGGCTGCGTTCCGAAATTCACTGCCAGTACTGAAAATCTATAATTTATGTTACGTATACTATAGAATTTCAGCACTAGCAGCAAATTTCGGAACGCAGCCTATAGCACTTCTAATATGAGAGTGTAAACCTATGCAGCGGAATAGCGGATCGCGGAACGAGAGCGGAACCAATCTAGTAATAGAATCTGTGCATTCTAGTAATAGAATCTGAATGTAGCTCAAGAGAAACTAGACAAAGCGCCCACAAAATGGCGGCCGCCAATATGTAAACTCGTAAAAAGTGCGTGTCTGTACTTTTTTGCTGTATTGCTACACTAGTGCAATAAGTAGAGTGAGACGAGTATATTTTTTCTCACTCTAATAGCGTGTTCGACTGGCTCTGGATTAATCGCTCCGAGAGCGATTATTGACGTCATAATGGGTGCTTTCCAGTTACGTTTTGTGTATTACACAAAACTAGTTTATTGGTTGTATATTATCTTACAAGATATTTTAGATAATATGCGACCAATAAACTGGTTTACGTATATGTCAAGATGTGTTAATCAATTGGAAAGCACCTATTGGCTCTTGCACACAGGACGCGATTTGCCATGCGGCGGAAGTCCGCGCGACAGCCAATCAATATGTTGTTTTTCCGTAAGAGCTAGAAGGTTATTACGGAAAGCAGCATATTGATTGGCTGTCATGCAAACTTCCGCCGCGCGGCAAGCATTACCGCGTCCTGTGTGTAGGAGCCATAAGTCTGCATTATGGAGAATTTACACCGCGTCCAATGTCTGACGTACGACGTCCGATATTCAATAGGAGAACAACTTTCCAATGGAGAATTGAATCCTCTATTAAAAAGCTATTCTCCTATAGGATATCGGACGTCGTACGTCAACATTGGATGCGGTGTAAATCTTGCATTACATATTGGGTAGTGTTCCAAAACTCTACACAACGGATAGAGTAACATTTAATTAATCAATAAGAATAAAGATAACTAGAATTTCTTTATCACGATTAGTCAATAAAATGTATTCTACATACCGAGTAGAATTTTGGAACGCAGCCCTACTATTCCGTACACGCTTACCAACAACTGTCGGATCGGTAGACGCGTTGCGCAGCTTTTTATACTATAGAAAAGCTGCGCAACGATGTTTACCGATCCGACAGTTGTCGGTAAGCGTGTATGGAATAGTACCCCACGGGTACTATTCCGTTCCCGCGTACCGACAACTGTCGGAACCACGGTAACGGAATATCATCCCGTCAATCTATCTTTATCGCTCATTACATGCAGGAAGAAGATAGAGGCTACGTTCCGAAATTCATTGCCAGTACTGAAATTCTATAGTATACGTGACATGAACTATAGATTTTCAGTACTGGCAGTGAATTTTGGAACGCAGCCAGAATGACGCTTACAGCGCATAAGCGCCCAAAGCGAACGCAGCCCTTGTGACTAGATCCTGAAGTTTCACCTATTGGTTAAAACATATCATGTGCCCATGCGGGAATTCGTTTAAAATTATTTAAAAATTTGGTCGCCATGTTGTAGTAGCGGTGGACAATATCAAGAAATCTGTCATCGCAATAAGAATAGCTATGGCTGATGTGTCCCAAGTATCGCACCTCGATGAAGAATATAGATCCGCGAAGATTATCCACAAACGAAGGTCATCGATATTCTGTAGACAAAATATAACGTTTAACCAACAAGAAAGTAAGTTAATTTAGCAATATAGCACGTTTCTTTATTGCTGTACTTTTTTATAAATAATTTGATTCTCAGTGTATCAATTTGCATAAAACGTATGTCAGTTATTTAGGAATGCAAGTACATAAATATCTTTTTTTAGATGATAATAAAATCACAACTAATAAGACTGAACTTGCATCAAACGAATACGAAGAAGATACACAAACAGGTGTTGAATCGTTTGATCTGGAGAAATATATAGAAAAACTCAAACAGGAGCGAAAAGATTGGCAGCAAGAATACAAAAAGCGCAAGTCTCAACGAAAGAACTTGACCAAGCAAAAAGCAATAGCAGAGAGCCAGGGACAACTTCTTGATCTAAATATATTAACAAAGTCTGAAAGAGCTTTTATCAGAGCACGTCCCAATTATGAGTATATTTGCAAAAATAGTCAAAAGCTGTCAGATGTGGCATTGAAAATATCTACACTCAGTCAGGTAGTGAATAAGTTAAATCAAAGATTCATGGAGAAGATGGAAAATAATATCTCCAGAGCCAGCAGAGATATTATAGAAATGTTGGAAGATTAAGATAGATATATTTGAAGTATTATTATTATTATTAAAGTTGTTGCAATTTCATTAGTAATTAGAGGTTTTTGTAGTATAAATATAAATAACATTTAAATTAATTAAATATGATACTACATACTAAGATTGATTGTACAATACTTATTGGTGTGATGATTGTGTTCATGGCGCATCCATGATTCCACTGGAGATGAAGTATAATGAATACAAAATAATTTAGTAATATTATACAGTACAACAATAACTTTGCATTCGTGGAGTATAGATAGCCATTGTCCATATATATACTATCTCACTTTCAAGTTGTTAACAAAAATCATAATATATTTGATCATACAAAGATGTTTTTTTCCTTACAATCGTCAGCTGTTATATAATGCTCAATGCCTCAGGTAATCTAAGATTGCACGAAACAACCAGTAGAGCTGTCATCTGTGTAGATGAAAGCTCTTTCTCCTCGCGGCCTTCCTCTCCTTCTGTGCAAGATACTCCTTTCTGGACGTGCCACTGTGCAACTCCAAGATATGATTGATCTTTCTCACAATCTCCTCAGCTGTTACAGAGTCTGCCTCGAAATCGTGATTTTTAAACGATGCAGACTGATGCAGCGAGTGGCTTTGACCTGCAGTATCATTTAATGGTATTAAGAACTTATAAGGAGTCATCTACATGTTAAATTTTTTGGCAAAATATAATTCCTTCAATTTATTGCAGTGTATGTAGTTGTGAGAGGAAGATTGCCTCACCCAGAAAACTATCAGGAGTGTTTGACTGTGGAGTGTAAACTAATGTGAACATAGTCTTTGAACCCTTGGTCTCTGTCACTTCACACCAAGCGATGTTGTCTATGTGATAACTGACCGCACGCTGCCTGTTCCAAAACCTAGCCGCACCTTTACCTGTTATGACCGGATCTATTTCTATCTTCTCACCTGATATACCCAGGTGAATCTCTGTTTTTGCTCTCATCTTGTTAATGATATATACCCTATGATCAGAGGCATATTTAAACGATTGGAACATATGTTATTTCAACAAAAGCGTCTAAAACTTCTGCAGAAATTTCTGCATAATATTTAGTTATCGAGAAACTACCTATATGATTGATATAACGGTGCTTCCATCGCGGTGGTATGACCCTCCATCTTTGCCAAATCGTTCGCAACTTCTTCTTGCTCCTTGTCTTTACCCTCCAAATCCTCCTCGTCCTTCTTCTCTATACAACAAACTACGTTATGTCTCGCCAGATCACTTGGCTTCATCTCAATCAAACCCAGTGTTGTGAACTCGAACTTTGAGATAGTCTCGCGCAGATCTAAGCAGGGGAAAGCCCAGTCCACCTCACCGTCGTCCTCAGTGATGTAGAGGCCGTAGCGCGAGATGTCTTCCCTGAAAGTAACGACGAACCGAGTTTTTGCCGTGAATATACCTACGAATGTGTATAGGGTGGCGCGAAGTCGAGTTAGTTACAAACTTCAAATTATGATCGGGATGTTCACTTGCATATTTGTAGCAAATCAATCCGATGAAGTCTAGCACGCGTGCCGTTGCCGTGACGACCACCTGCAGCGGGTAAGTTCTCTCCTCCTTTGGCAACATACACATGAATATCCTGTACTTTCTCACGAGTGTACCGACCTGTGCCTGCAACGGAAATTTCTAAATATATTTGTTACAAAAAGAACTTTCAGACTATCTCTATTCTTAAGGTCGGTCCTTGACCGCGGAATTCCTTATTGATGTTGTCAGAAGCGAGGAAATGCATGCCCAAAATTCGTGAAAAGTACGTTGAAATAAAAAGATATACAACAAGATATATAAACAAAAAATATTCTTGCAATTAATTAAACACATCTCTAAAATATCCTGAAAATATCCTTTCCTTTTATTTTAACAATAAATTATAAAATTAACATGACCTGTAACTTTCTTTTTTTAACCTACATTTCCTTATTATCTTGTCATGTTAATTTTACGATTATTTATTGATTGTTAGAAGGAAAGTTAGAAGGTTAAAGGAAAGTTTTCAGAGTATCTCGTAAATATGCTTAATCGATTGCAAATGTCTACTTCTAGATATATATTTTCTTTTATGTACTCTGCAGAAATTTTGAATATACACATTTCCTTGCTTTTCCATTATAAACCAAGATTACCATAGCAAGAGACTAAGAACTTTGAAGAACAAAGATTGTATAAGTTATGCAAGTTTTCACAACTTTCATAACATTACATACATTGCCATCGAACTTGGCGTATTCCTTGAATGGATTTTGAGGTAAATTAGGACACTTCTCGAGTTGTTCTGACAGAAGAGAATGTCCTCTTTTCAACGATGCATTTTTACGAAAATCTTTCCTCTGAAATAGCTCTGACTGATCTGTAGGTGTGACAGCATTAGGATTATGTTCCCATTTAACATGCTTGACTTCAGCAGCCTTCTTCCTTTCTATGTCCATCTTCTCCAGTCTCTGTGCAGTGTTGGATCTTTGTCTGTGACTGAATTCCATATCTAGAACAATGGTGCAAAATTTATAATTTTGTAATTTAACTTTAAAATAATTATTTAAATTTACCTTAAATTATATATAACTTGAATGTATTTAAACAAATAATGTTACCAAAATTATTTTAAGTGGATAATTTTGAACAAAATCACAATTGATTTGTAATTTATAATATATGAATATTGCACAGTATAATTGAGGCATCTCACATACCCATTTGTATGTCATAAGACTCTGCCAATGCATCCAAATCTTCATCGTCACTCTCCTCTCTTCCAGGATAACATTGCAATATTCCATTTTCCTTCATTTGCCTTGGAAGATCTTCTCCTAACATCACCATCTCACACATACCTTTGAGCCAAAAGATAACATAAAGTAATGATTTATCTAATTTATCTGAGCAATCTAATTGTCTTACATATATGAATTCATATTAAGATTAAATTTCTTGTCAAATATGTTACAATGCAAGCTTTTTAAGCATATATCACGTATACCATACATATCAACGTTATTAAATATACCTACTAAAATTACTCGGATCAAAGTCGGAGTAACATTTAATTTTGACATTTCTAACCTAGGTTTATCCGATGCACACCTGTGTCATCCGTAGCGAGAAAACTATCTCTGATGTGCGACAGAAGCCAATGCTGGTTATCATAGAGGGCCATTTCTCTTTTTTAATTGATTAATATTCACCAAATATAGTAGATAGGATCAACTAGAACAATAATAAGATACACACTACAACGAGCCGTTCACAACTGACTGATCGGTCCTTTTTACAAACCGGCGGATCGATTTACGCGCTACTACCATACTGCTTCTCAATGAACGCCTTGAAGCTTACCACGGTCACCGGTCGATGGCATCTGCCTGTGCTGCAATTCAGTTTATCAATCGACAGTAATGGAAGATGGACGCGCGGAATTCTATTTGCTGCTAAAGGAGAATATTTCTAGGTAAAAACGACTAAGGTAAAGACGACTAACGTTTATTCTTCAAATTATACGACATTAACGAGTCAACGCAATGTTCAGTTTTTTTTATTTATTTGCAATATATTATAATAATACATCTCAACGCATTGCGTCGGCTTTAATCACTATGCAGCGTAAGAATTTTGTAAATTAACAGTCACGCTTCTTTCGGTTCTATCTAACACTTTGTCACAAAAAAAGAAGCTTATTTCGTATAATTATAGACTTCCTCTTATCAACGATTAAATGATCATCTTTCATCTTTCTATTCTAGCGTTAAAATCCAAATAACCAAATAACGTGACTTGTTTAAAGACCGTTTCCGGTCCATATGTTCCGGGGACTTTCTGCATTGGCGGCAGCAGCGGCTGCATTCACAACCGGGGGGTGGTTTTCCAGAATGGCGCCCCAGATCGCCACGGCCACCCCACCGCGGGCCCCCTCCTTGGCATCGGTATTTTTCTTGAAGTTATGCACTGAGTAACGATTGTAGAGGCCCCAAATGCTATTCATTAGTTTGCTGTTATACTTCAACGGCATCAGCTCCCAGCCTGCACATTCAGTAAGTCATCGAGGTGAGTTTAAAGCGAAATAAGCATGAAGGTGCTAATGAATTATTGTTTATTCCTTTCTATATATTAACTGAGCAAGAATTACCTTCTAAAGAAGGTCTCGAATTGAACATATTCTCTTTTTCTTCCATCGCCGACATTGAAATAGTTAGTTCTTCGTTATAACGAACTTTACGCGCTGCAAAAGCACCTTGTGGAATAGCGGCCATTTTTTCACAGTCTGGAAGAAATATTTAAATGTTTTTATATTCAAGTGAATAAAGAAAGCATTATTTTACATGTTATAACGAGCATATTCGTTGAACATTTTTTAAATAAATTTATATATAAGTATATATCCACACAAAAGATAAAAGTATATATCCACACAAATAGTACAAAATATCTCAAAATTATCCCAAATATGTTTAGGATGTCCTAAGCACACCTAGAATAATCTCAGAATACTTCATATTATTTGAGTACTTATATATTACATGATAATTGTAATACATATTTGCATTTTATTAAGAAAATTTAATGTATTCTCAATGAGGAAAATATTTTTAAAAATCTCATTCATTTATTTCACTAATATTCTTATTTGCAAGAAATGAGTCTATATTAAACTTTATTATTAAATCAGAATTAATGCTTTTTCGTGCAAGACTAATGATACATTGCGTGTCGATAAGGTATAGTCTTTGATAGCTATTTATATACATCTTGCTTGTATTGTACATTTACTTTCCACGTCATTGATAACTTCGATGTTTGTCAGCCAATAGAACGTGCATTTCTGTGCCATTATTGGCAAACACTTTCTCATTTCGTGCTCGATATTAACGAATGTATCAGATATTTGCAATTCTTCACATTTTCATCATGTCACTTCATATCGATACATCACGAAGAATAATGCTAAGCATATTTTTAGACTGTTTGATACATTTCCTCCTGAAACTAACCAGTGCAATTTTCGAAGAGCAACTCTGTTATCTGTCTTCTGGTGAATCTTCTTTGCGTCCCCAGGCTTGTCTTCAACGTACTCTTTCTATCTCGCCCCGCTCGTCGAGTTTCTATCTTCTGGATCGTCTCAAGCCTCATGCAGCCGCCAACACTAGTGGTCTCAGTAAGAATCATCAACCAATAGATTTGCCCTTGTCATCAAGAGATCAATTCTTATACGGTTTTCCGTGTGGTCACGTGTGATGTTTGATGTGTCTACTTGGCTTTGAAATCACGCCAGAATGATACTGATGTCCGGCACGATGCCTGCTCTCATTTATAAGCACGCAACCAAGTCGATGAAACGAGGAAGAAGGAGAATGATGCAGCGAGACGGAGATGGACAGTCAGATACTTCTATTATCTGCTGCGTTCTCAGCGCGACATAATAAGAGCGACCTATTAGCGGCCTTCGAGATTCTCGTTGACGTTACCCGACCACCGCAGCGTATTCTTATCAGTCTTATTATCTTTGGACCCGAGAAGACACGGACACGTCTATCTTCTGCGTAGCTTCGCGTATCAGCCCAGGCTCGTAGTTAGACTTAGCCGACACGGCAGTACAAAACCATGAAAAACGCAAATCTTTTAACGTATTTGTAAAAAGAAAGATATCAAAACGATGTCTAATTTTTTTTAATTTGTTGGCCTAATTTTTTTTAAAGATTCTTTGAATATATTTTAGAAAACTACTAAATCCGTACGTAATTTGAAAAAATATAGATATTAGGATAAAGGTATTTGCGAAGGAAGAGCATATCTGTCTGGAGATAACTGTCCAAAAAAATATAAAATAAAAATTAAAAAATTTTAATTATGACTAGTTGCAACTAGTAATAATTTAATTTCAAATAGTTATTGTTTGTACCAATTTTTGCTACCACACAAGAATACAGAGTACAAAGTATTATATCTCTCTTCCAGGTATCTATATGAAAGCACTTTTATTTATAGCTATTTAAATATCATGTTTTGTCTCGAGTCGATGTCGTTAAAAAAAGAAATGAATAATTAAGTTTGAAAATGAGATGTTATTTTTATCATTGACGTTTAAAAACATCATTATAAATTTTTTTTAACTTTCATCTTAATTTCTCTACTTTTTTAGTAAAAGTCAAATCTTATCGTTACTAGATATTATATTTCAAGAAAGTGAGCATCTATTTATTCGTATATATTTCTTAAAATTATTATATAAATATCAAAATGAACAAATGAAATAAATTATTGCTATACTGGCAATAAATTATTAAATTATTAAATTGAAGATATTAAATTATTGAATTATTCTCTCGTGATCTCGCGAATACGCAAAATATCGGCGTAGATCTCAAGCTTGTTTCTCGTGGCTTTTTTATTGTTATTGTTTGTTGGCTTGTAATGCGGGACCACAAGCAGAGATTTCTTGCTAAAGAGGCGTTATGTCAATAAACATAATTATCAAAACAAAATCTCCGGGAATCAGTGGCAAATCATCAATAATCAAGGACATTCAATGTCCAGTCACGAATCTCAGTAGCTTTAGCGTTGCAAAATCTTATTCTCCTCCTCGCATTAATGCTCCACGTGTCTTCGGCAATATCGTAAATAGGACAGTTGTATCAGTAACAGTGTATACATAAGGAAGACCACGCAAGATATTCAATATTTCGAATCGCCATATCGCGCTTAAAGTTTAAATTGAACGAACCATTTGGTAAATATTTTCGTCATACATTTTGCCAATTATACACGACTAACGGGAAAATCCGGCAATTGTAAATTGCGACGAATTTCAAGGTTTCGCACGAGTGCGATTGGTGGTTCGTACTGTGATAATTTTGTTCTGTAATTTTTTTCCTCCACAAAATTGTCTTCATGCATAAGATATTTTAGAGAGCGAAACGACGATCCGAAGACAAACAGATTGGTCTCTAAAGTTGTAAGAAGTTTAAAATAATTCCCACATTTGTGAATTCGGGAATATTATATAGTCAAATCGATATAATTGTTTATTAACAAACACGGAGTGGTTTTCTCATTGGCCTATCTTTATATCTTTTGTTTTTCTTGAGGTTATCTCGAAACTTAAGTAATCTTTAATGTATTATATGGTTAATCTCTGTCTTTTTTGACAAACAATAATAACATGATATTATTTGTCTAATCTGATTACATAAAATTGAATCATCAGATCGTGTAATCGACCAAGATTTGGAAATCGCGTAGTACATAACAATAGTCAAGACTTAGAATCGTGATTCGCTTTATACATATACATAATTGATGACCCAAAATAGAAATATACTCCATGCAAAAGAAATTCACTCAAAGAAATAGGAATCAAGTGCAGAACACATTTTGTATTCGTTAATCTCATTTACGTTTTTAAATTTTCTTTTCCTTTTTAAATCAAAGCTGACTTTTATCCGGGTCAGAAATACTATAACTCTTATCAAATGTAAAAATTTGTGCGTGTAAAAAAGGTTAAATCGAGTACGATAATGCACGATAGTAATTGAGGAAGGAATATAAACAAATCAACCGCATAATCAATTCTTTTCGTAACTGTGTGACCACTTCGGTTTCCTCTTCTCCAGAAAGCTTCGTATTCCTTCTTGCGCATCTCTCATCTTCAAATTGTCCACCATTTTTTCGGTGCCCCGAAGATACGCCGTCGATATATCGAGATCCATTTGCTCGTACAGAAACGTCTTACCGATGTGTACAACCGAGCGACTCTTCATATTAATTGCACTTGTAATTCGACGGACTTCTTCGTCTGAAATTAAAATTATAAGCATAATAAGAAATTCGCCCAAACGCAAAATTTACTAACATTATATGAATTTCATATCAATTGAAACTGATAACTGGAAGTCGTGTGATTTAAACTTCTCAGTAAATATTTTGTGAAAACATGATAATATTTTTAAAAATTTTTGTAATGCCCTTTGAGAAGAGAGTTCAATTCTATCGTAGTTAATTTACGCTTACTTGGCTTAATTCTAATGACGCCTGTTTAATGTTTTGTGCATTAATGTTTCAGAGTGACTCACCGAGTTTATCATTCTGCACGACCTTGCTAACGAGACCGCATTCGTAGGCTTCTTTGCCGGAAATAGGGTATCCCGTGAAAAGCATGTACGACGCACTTTTCCTCGGCACGTTACGTACTAGCGGTATACCTGGTGTTGAGCAGAATATCCCGAGATTTGCTCTGAAAAAAGTATTACGAACGAGTATTACGTTTCTCAAGTGGATGTGTAAGGTAAGTAATAAATGATAATAAATTAATATATTAATGATAATAAATTATATATAATATAACAAATATCGAAACAATCTTCGCAAATTACCCCGGAGTAGAGAACGAACTTCTCTCCGTGCATACCGCGATGTCACATGCCGCGACCAATTGACAACCGGCCGCAGCTGCCAAACCGTCAACGGCCGCGATCACCGGCACTGGACTCTGGCTGATGGATCGCATCAGTTCCGAACAGGTCTCGAACACCTCTTTGTGCAACTTGTCGTTGGTAGTTGTCTAAACGACATGAGATAATTATATCTTTTCTTTAGATAGATAATTATATCTTTTCTTTAGATAGAGATAATATTTTTTTTCAGATGGATGCAAAGAGATGTTTCTACAGAAATGAGGCCGAAACCAGATCAGCTAATCTCGTCTACGAACCAGTTCCCTAAGATTGTGTCCGGCAGAAAAAACTTTTCCTGGCACGGATGTCAGAACGATTGATCGTAGATCTTGGTTGTCCTCGTCCCTCTTAATTTCGCTTATCAGAGTCTTCAGCATCTCCAGTGACAGGGAATTGAGCGAGGCAGAATCGCTTAATTGGATAGTTCTGACCTAGAATGAAATCAACGATTATAAAAAAGAGTAAGTTAATAAAAAGCATAATAATTATAAAATAATTAGTGATACAAACAAGTTTGTAGTCAAATAATATTCGTAATAATGATTAATAAATATGTAATTTTTGAAATTATAAGATAAAGTTAAACAGCTTTTTTAGCAATAATTGGTGGAATGCAAATTGACTAAACTTCAAGTTGTATTTACAGAACTGAAAGAAATAATATTGTTTCTGAATGTTTTGATATTCAAAAGAACATATGGATAGATAACACCTCACCCCATCTTTCTGTGTAGTCTCTACATATTTCTTCTCAATGGTTGACAATGCCCTCGCGATACATCTTCCCATCTGTAACATCAAATGGTATTGAATCAATAGTCAAAGTTATTATCAACAGAATATTCGTTAGAAAAATATAGTTTGCACGTGTGCGCTTTACGCGCCATTTGAAATGTTCCCGCATTTTTCTCGCGATGTCGTCACAACTGCTCCAGCCAATCAGCGTTAAGCAGACGCGACTTTCTGGATAAAATAGAAATAGCTTTATATGTGTATAACATGTATACACAGCTAAGAATGCATATCGTTGTCCAGATATTATATAATCGTGCGTAGAATTTGCACAGAGTAAAAATGTAATATATCAAATCAAGTACCTGAAAGACAGCTGAGCCATTTTTTATCACAAATTTCGAGATAATTGTCATTCCGCGATGATGCTGTACTTTATTTGCAGATTTGGGTTAATTAGATATTATATTTATCGCGCACTTTCAACTTGGTATCGATTGACACCGACGTGATTCGGAGTATTAGAAATAACGGTTATCGTTGACGTACATTGGCCGTCACGCCATGATACAGACGAGACGATAGTGACAACTTTATCTGTTAGCCCGCGAAATTTTAAACAAAGAGAAATCTAATAATTTCTTAAGAATAAAATTTATGTGAATAACAAAATTTTAATCGATTTTCTTCCCAAAATTTTTAAAAACATCGCCAATTAATTATCTTGCAATATAAAAAAATTAATTATTTTGCTAAGATTTCTAAATTTTATATTGAAATATTGGAATTAAGAATTATTTGTATGTGTGTGTGTGTGTGTGTGTGTGTGTGTGTGTGAGTGTGTGTATTAATATATTTTAAAACAATTAATCTCATGAAAATTAATCATACAATATCCCTTATGTTTATTATAACTTATTATAAATATGTTTAAAACTTACCGTAATGAAAAGAGCAATATAGCTCAATAAAAGGGATATCGTATATTCTTATATTCTTATTCAGACTACGCACGAACGCATGCGCACTGATACATTCGGTGTGCTCGGACTGTAAACAGCTTAAGCAGGCGTCTAAACTCTTCTGTGCACTATTCTGTTATTGTATTTTCTTCCATTATTATTATTCCGATATAATATACCAAAATGCAGCTTGTGAAACGAAATTGAAGTTATCAAGATGATAAGTGTAAATTGAATTTGCTCTAGTATAATGGATTTTCAATGAAAGGAAGAGAGTTAATATAAAAAAATGTTAAAGACAATGACTGATACAGTTCTTTAAATTACCAAACAGAAGCTAAGACTGACAGTAATTCTGCTGAATTAAAATTATTCCAAGATGTGTGACTGGTCTATGGACATGTGTCTCTTACTGATAGATCTTTATGAACGACATCCAGTATTATGGGATCCCAGACATTATTATTATTATTCTAAGAAGAAGAAGTTGGATGCATGGGAGGCGATAGCTCAAAGTATGAATCTTGATGTAAAACTCGTACGACAGAAGATGGTCAGCCTACTTGGTTCCTTTCGGGCACAGAAGAGCAAAGGCAAAAAGTCAGTGGGAACTGGAGCAAGTATGTAGAAATACAAAATAAATGAAATATGTAATAACATAATTTTTTGAATAATTTGAAGTATTTTTATTTTATTAGAAGTATTAGT